TTGTTTTGACAGTCGGAAAAATAAATTTGTAAATGTGTGGGTAGCATCTCGTTGCTGGGGTAACCAACAACGGATGCTTGAAATCGCCGACGAGCTTAAAGGCCAAAACACAATAGCGCAGTGGCAGTGACAGTTTTTAAAATCAGCTGTTACTGCTAATATTGGCAGTCAATGCCGCAGCAAACACAATACGGCGTTGTCAGTGACCATGATTCAATAATACAAGGTTAGATAATTATTGACAGCTGCGGTTTGACACTCCCTTACAAAAGGTTGCATTTACGAAGGACAGAGAAAGGGCAAGAATGCAATCCCTTGTTGCGAAAATGGTAGTAGAAAAGTACGCAAAGTAGGCAATTAGTAGTGAAATTCCTTTTGTAAATTCTAATGTATTTGCAGGAAATCTGGCATTTTAAACGAAATGTTGAATGTAATATTGATTTATCTACGTGAATTACGTAATTTATATGCTATTTAGCTGTATAAAAACTGCAAAATGACTCAAAATTAAAATAAGACTACTATGAGATTGATGTAAATATCCAATGCTTATCTTTTTATCAGTTAAATATGCTTCATATGCATATACAAATAAACATATTGCACAAAATCGTATACTTTTATTTCACACCAAAGCTACACTGTTTCCATGTAAATTTGCAAAGAAGCAACACGGTGCCACTGCTAAGGGAGCGGTGCGAGAGAGACAACTGTCAGTTTATCGAACCTTGTATTATTGAATCATGGTCAGTGACTGCTTTTTTTGACATTCCCTTTTGTTTGTTTACATTTTTGTTGTTGCCTTTTAGGCTTCAGTGACATCAACAGATGTTGGCTGCGTTTCATTTATGTCAAATTGAATTTAGAATTTGGGCTAAACTGAGCAGTACTGCTAGCTGCCACTGCTGTATTTTGAGTCGCTTCATTGGACACCACACTTTCTAAAAAACAGCTGATTTCGAAAAACTGCCGCTGCCACTGCCACTGCGTTATTGTATTTTGGGCTTAAGTAACGTAACTCTTTTTTTCTGGCAGGCTGCATGATTCAATAATACAAGGTTAGATAATTATTGACAGCTGCGGTTTGACACTCCCTTACAAAAGGTTGCATTTACGAAGGACGGAGAAAAGGGGAGGAATGAAATCTCTTGGTGCGAAAATGGTAGTAGAAAAGTACGCAAAGTAGGCAATTAGTAGTGAAATTCCTTTTGTAAATTCTAATGTTTTTGCAGGAAATCTGGCATTTTAAACGAAATTTTGAACGTAATATTGATGTATCTATGTAAATTACGTAATTTATGTGCTATTTAGCTGTATAAAAAATGCAAAATGACTCAAAATTAAAATAAGACTACTATGAGATTGATGTAAACATCCCATTTAAAAACAGTTTATGTTTTCATCAGTTAAATATGCTTCATATGCATATACAAATAAACATATTGCACAAACGCTCATACTTCTATATCACACCAAAGCTACACTGTTTCCATGTAAATGTGCAAAGAAGCAACACGGTGCCACTGCTAAGGGAGCGGTGCGAGAGAGACAACTGTCAGTTTATCGAACCTTGTATTATTGAATCATGTATTGAATCATGGGCAGGCTGTAGGTGTGTGTACAGTAGGCTGTACGGGCATGATGTAAACAAGAAAGTACACCTAGTTTCAAGTTTGACGGATAACAAAATTTTTTGAACTTTCATAAATTGTGAGAATTCTCAACGGCCTTGTCACTTTGGTAATATAAACACAATAAATCGGTGTATTTTCTTTCTCACATTTATACCAATTTATATCAATTTAATACGATTTCAAATCAAAAATCATTATCGGGGCTTAGTAATTTCTTTACTTACGTGTTTTACGCCTTTTTTATTTCAAATATATAAAATGTAAAATGTTACAGGAGACGATGACGTAATTGTTCTTTTTATTTTATAATAAAAATCACGAGAGAATTATGTTATTATATTTATATTTTCTTATTTTGAATGCAGTCTTGCTATTAAAAAATCGAATTCTTAAGAATATTCTTTCCAAATAAAACCTTTTTATATTATTTTGATCCAAATTTACTTTTAAAGTTCTCATCAGATTTCGCAAAAAATAGGCGTTGTGGTATTTTATATGGAGTTCTTGATTTTTTTCAGAGCTGCATACTGGCCGTATGCAAAAAACCGGAACGACCCAGATTTATATCTGGCAAAGGACTGTCACTGCAGCAACACTTTTTGTTAAATAAAACACTTATTGTAAAGAAAATGTTTTATACATTTAATTGGTGGAAAATGAAGTAATTTCACAAAAGTGAAGTGACAATTTCCAAAGTGAAGTGAAACAATTCAATTGAATTCACTCAACACTGGAAGCCAGTATTGCCATTTCGCTTGATACGTAGCATTGCCAGCTGATTTCAAAAATAATCTTGGATTATTTTCAAAGATGAACGAACTTCAAATATAGATGACACGAATAGATTATCAGGTCCATTCTGAACAGAGACTCCCCAAGAGTTTAAACTCTTTTCCCTTTCCACCTATCATCAATAAAAATTCCACGAGTAATTTTTATTTTAAATGGCGGCTTTGAGCTTTCTCATAAAGTGTCAAACAGCTCTTTCGAAGTTCGAATTTCCTCCTCCCAAATTTTCACAGAAAATGCTACTTCCTGGGAATTAACTACTGGAGGATTTATTTCTCGGGAGAATCAAATTCCCGGAGAACAAACTCTCCGGGAGTTTGCAGAATTGGGCTGTTTACAAATGTTATTAATACTTGGATAAGTTCTCAAACAGACCAATACCATTTAGGTATAAGAAATAAACTTCAAAGTTAATTAAAAATTAACCAAAACCAGTGTTCCAAACATCGTCGTTTTCGATTTGAGGTTTTTAATTTTTATTATTTTTTATCAAAAGTTAATTTAGCTCGTGAAAAATATAACGTCTGATAGTTTTCTCAGAAAACTCTTTTCGTCGACTTCGGAAGAATTTATTTGCCCTCGTCCATGGCTTCCGCGGAAACGGCTTTACGTGACTTGAAAACTCGCAC